CCAGCAGGTTTCAAAGACTCTTTCAAACTTTTCTTGACCCACCCTCTGGCTGGACGTTTGGCCCATCCGAAAGAAGCTGTGGTTTATGTGGAAGAAACCAGGAATGAAGGTGAGATATTTCGTGAGAAATTAAAAAATATTCGAATCATTAAAAATGTCACAATGTAACTGATATCAAGATTTCGCTGTGCAGAATTAATTTAATCGAGCGAAAGAATAATCCGATTTTCGGGATGCCAAGCTTAAAAAAAGCATTCTGCGGAAGCACAAACGGTGGAGGAATATTTTAAACGACGAAGGAGTTTCTAATATGTTTTTGGCTACGTGTTTTGAATACAACTGCTTATTTTAAATTTTTTGTTTCGATATTTCATTTTAGGAAATATGGTCGGGTTCGAGGTCAAGTCGTTGACAGTGAATGAGAACTCAGGTGTGGTGTCGGTTCCGGTGAAACGCTGGGGAGATTTGAGTTATCCGGTGACCCTTGCTTGCCACACCAGGTCACGTTCAGCAAGCGCTGGGTCAGATTTTGTCGAAAGACGCGCGAACTCTGAAGACTCCGTGATCGAATTCAAATCTGGTCAGTCACCACTTTTGCCAACTTTTCCATTCTTCTCATGCCAGCTGAAATTCGAATCCCTGATTCTAAACTTTTAATGAACGATTCAGTATACGTTTAAACAAAGTTCTAAGTGTACAGTATTCAAGTCTTTGGATTAAAATGTTTGAAGTCCATAACATAAGACATGAGGGAAGTCTCTGTTTATTCAATTTCCTCCAAAATCAACGCTGATCATTTGAACAACCGGTTGCTCCTGAATCATGTCTGTCAAAACAACATTGAAAAAATTTTCCGAGACCATATTACTGTATTTCCGATTAAAAATGGTTTGCAGATCTTGAAAATGACGCAAAGGAATATTGAAAAAATTAGCATGCGATAGCAGTTTTCGAAAATTTCTTAGTGCTTATTCAAAGAAATAAAATACAGCATGCATAAATTATTTTTTATACCGAAAATTCCATTATTTAATAAGTGGAGGGGGATTGACTTTCATCTTTTTCCCGGTCCAATAAATGGGAAGCATTTTCTCAAAAGTACCAAACATTACAGTGCGTTCTTTTAATCTGAAGCAGCAACTATTTTTGAATGAATGCCTTTAAATAAGTAGTAAACCTCGATCAGTCGACTTCTTCTCCTGAAGAAAAAAAAAACTGTTGGATTTTTATTGAAAATGTTCCTGGATTCATTTTAAAATATTTCAATCCCAGGCCAAGAACTGAATAATTGCAACGTGTCGTTGATCGATGATGATGAGCTAGAAGGGCAAGAAGTTTTCCGCCTCGTCCTCTCGGATATTTCCTTGACCAACAGTTCTTCGGGCATTGTTTGGAAACACACTCCGAAAATCGGCCCAAGATCAGACATCTTGATCAACATAATCGATCCAGAAGATGGTAAAATTCCAAAGAACGAAAATAAAATTTACAATTAATCCTAGACCTCTTTTTTTGTAGAACCCATGATTCAATTTGCGAGTGATAAACTAAGGATTGCGGAGCCGAAGACAGCTATTAAATCGCCGGGAAGACTAGCTGTTGAACTTGTTCGAACTGGAGACGTTTCATCGTCTTCAGTGATCCACATTTATTCCAAAGATGGATCAGCAAAAGCTGGAAAGGACTTTGAAGCCGTTAGCAAAGGTTCGTTTATTTGACCTATAATCGATCGGATCACGTAACAAATAATTTCCAGATAATTTTTTTCAATTTTTTTTAAATGCCATGATTAATGTTCACCGTGACAGATGTGAGATTTGCCGTGGGATCAACGTCAGTTGAAATCGAAGTGAAGGTATTTTTTGACAATGTGAAAGAAGACACCGAGACATTCTTCCTACTGCTCAGACCAGTCGGGAACAAGGCCAACGGTGTTGTCAAATCCAACAGGAGGAAAACTACAGTTCAAATTTTGGTAAAACTGCTCTTGATATTTATTGGGCTGAAGAAATATTTTTATTCTAAAATACTGTATTTCAATCTAAACAGGACGGTGGTTTGAGTGAATTGGTTGCTTTTCCTGCTCCTCCAATTGTGGCATCTTTGCGAGACCTGGACTTTGCAGCAGTTGCTCAAATTGAGCCCATGAATGGTTATCCTTTGGTCTGCATTTCGGTGAGAATAATCTTTTGAAGTGGTATCCCGCTACAACGAAAACATGGGGATCTTGAAACAATATGTTGTTGTTAAAAACCCGTTATCGTTATCGAGATTTTAATAAATTGGCTAACCTGCAAGGATGTCCTCAAGAAAATAATCTTTATGAATGAATTGGTCACGACGAAATTTGTGTCAGTGTCCATGAAGTCAAATGACTGTCTCGAAATATTTTTTTCACTTTTGAAAATATATTCTTTAAAATTTCAGTCGTGTCATCGAAAACATCCGGATTTTGCCAATGGGACAGAAAAGATTTGCAACAAGGAAGGGATTGACGATTCAATGACAAGATTCCGGTGGAAGATCAGTGGGTCAACGAGTGAAGAATTGCTAGATTTGAATGACGATACCATCTTCACAAGGTTCGCTTTATTTTCTCTTTCAGAGATGATGAAATACGAAGGTTGTCTTAATTACGCGTGGCTTTGCTCATGAAGTCATGATGAGTCATAAGCGGTCTACCATCATGAACTTCAGAATGTTTTTAGCACCTTTTCAGGTTTTCGAATTTTTTTTTCATGATTCTCAGCATGCGAGATATTCTTATCAGCAGCACCTCATCGTTGAAAAATAACTTGAGTTCTTCATAATTTTTTTAATGGAAAATGTATTCATAAAAGAATAAGTAAATAAGTTTCAGAGAGGAGATTTTCCACCAAAATGTGAGCCAAGGTGGGACGAGGTAGATTATTTTTTAAATTTGGAGTAATCCAACTTTTATTCCTCATTTTTCCAGAACGATAAAAAATTATGAGCTAGTATCAGACAAGTCCAAGATTTCTCTCAATCGAAATAATAAAAGTTAAGTCTCGCTGTTGATTAAAAGAACTTATTTAAAGCCGCGCATTTATGTTCTGTAGCTTATCAAAAACATGTACGTATATATGACTGTGAATGGGTAAAACGCCCGAAATTATCTTTTACTTCCCAGAAGAATTTCGTTTCGTCACAGAAGAATTCGGTTAAACGGAGACCTTTTTTTCTTGCATTTCAGGGTTGATAGAATTACGTTGGACAGCATTTACTTGACGCCAGGTGGTCGGGTCCAGTGTTTGACAACTGCAGTGGCAATAGATGGGAAAAAGGGGATCGAAACGGCTTCAAACATTGTCCGGATTTCAAAAACTCGGGGCTTGTGTCCTCGCAAACACGACGCATTCGGTTCCGAACCTTTCTTGTCGAAAATCCGCTACTCGGGTGCGTATATTCATAGATTTCATTCTCTCTCTTTCTTTGAGCATGCGGCATTCAGGAAATCTCAAATGTGTTTTCATTTTAAATTTCAGACGACCCTTCGCACCCAGATTTAGTGGAATTCGACGTTATTGTCCCTCATGCCGACGGATTGCTGCCGGTTTTCTCCACAAGACCAATTTTGAAGCCGCTCCAGATAACCCTAAGTCCTCTGAGCACAGTTCGAACATCTGAGCATTTTTGCTCGAATCTGCTGCTTCCTGAAGAGGTATATAAATGAATATCTGTTTTATATGTTCAGAATTCATTTTGTGCCAACGTTTCTATGATAAAAGCCGCGATGAAATCATACAATCTCCACAAGAAATTTAAATGAAACCCTTTCGGTTTGATTTTATATTCAGATGAAAAAAGCAGTAATATATACAGTGCAGCATCAACTGGAATGGTTTTTTTATGCCTACTTATTGCATCTGGTCAAGTTCCTTATTGTGGTTTACCAACGCAAAAATACTGAGCAAATTTTAGAGAAAAATAAGAATTATTTGACATCTTTCCTTGCTCTACGTTGATAAGTATGCATTTTTTTGCTTCTAATCTCGTGAGCTGATTCTTATATTGAAATCATATATCTATAGATGTAATTCAACAAAAAACTTCATGAAGTTAAATGCTTGTTGAATTTTCTGAACCTGAATGATGTGATTTCTTTTAATTTTAGCTCATCAACCCTAGAATTATTTAAATACGCAAGAAACTTGAGATAAAGTGGGATACGATTTTCCATGTATTTCTACGCCAAGTTAATTGAGGGAATAAAGTCTGAAAATCATATTCAGTGTGAAGCATACGTAAGGTCATTTAATAACCATAGGCCTTTTAATACATTTTTAAAGAACACGGTGATCTATCTCAATTTTTTTGCAGCAACCGACGAGGTTTGGTTTCAACATGAAAACGACCTTCAGTCGCGGAGACAATTTCCGGGAAATCGGAGAAGTTGAACCTTATCAATTGGACGCATCTCTTCGGGGAAAAGAAGCCGTAGTTTTATACAGTCATTTGGACTTGGATTCATGTTCATGGATGTTCCGAAGCTTCTTCAACATGTCTGACTTGATGTCCAAATGCGGTGGCATGATCTCGACGGAAAATCAGGTTCATTATAAAATTGAAAAAAAAAAAAGTATCGTCCCCTTGTCACGAAATGACCTCAACCCTTATATTCTTTTGCAGGTTTTGAATTTGGTTCAGTCTTTTGTGAGTGTAACCGTGCCCTTGTACATGAGCTACGTTGCCAAGGATTTCAGTGGATCCGGAGGATGGATTCATCAAGATATGGAGACAAATTTGAAGTAAATCCTTTCTCCTTTGACTGAATGCTGTGATATGTCTTTACAAAAAAGAGTTCTTATTTGTGCTCTTGCAGGTTGACATTCATGTACAACACAGCTGTCTTGTCGGATGAAAGCGTCGCTGCAGTTTCGTCTCGGAAATCATCTGGGAAATTGCATCCTCAAAGCATGCGTCTGCTCCCTGATGGCAGACTTGAAGTGAAATTTAAGACAAAACCCTTCTTCAGAGGGTTCTATCTACTTCAGAACAACGAAGGGTGAGCCCAGAAATACGCATAATATGCAATTGAAATTCATTTCTTGATAAACTTATATTTTTTAGAGACAAATCGTACGTGATATCGAAAGATCATCCTCATTTGCAATTCGATATTAAGCTGCTGAAGACCGAGGACACCATTGAAAAACCTCAGCAGGAGTGGATTTTCATTTCGGACTACGCTGTAAGGTTTTCTTTTGACGTACCAATATTTTATGACATTTTCTTCAACAGATTCTTTCGCCGACCTTATTATAATAGTCGATTCTAGATTTACTCTCGTTGGTACGTCTAACATGTACAGTATACAGTATTTACAAAAAAATCATAACCAAGAAAGCTTATACAGGTGCTTTCGATGATGATTTTCTGGTTGCTGGTTAGAAAGATTGTCCAAGTTCCGTATTTTTTTCAAGAATATAAAAGGGAAGCTATATATTGGGAGCACAAAATAAAAATAGGTTCTCACAGATATATTTCGGGGTTTTGTGGGGATTTTTTGCAATTTTACGGGAATTTTATTTTGCCTGTATTAAAATTGTATTGTGCCAGGTGTACGCCATGTCCGTGATTGCACCTAATTACAGATTTTCTGATGTCCAAGGTTTGTTCGCCCTTCTTTTTTATGAGGAAAATTATTTATTCTTCTTTCATTGATAAAGTCATCTGAGGATAAATTTTACGAGGATGTGAAAGGTCATAAAAGTTCGATCAACGAGTAAAAATTGTTGCCAATAATCTGCTCATAATAGAACTGGACAATTACGGCGGGTTTCGTTTGATTATAAGACCCAAACCCGCGAGGTTGTGGTTTCGTTATTCTGTATATAGAACAGTGTTTCCTAACCCGTGGTCCGCGGACCGGGCGCCGGCCCGCAGAAGTTTTTTGCTGGTCCGCAGGAAATTTTCTTTGTCATGATGAATGTATCAAAATTAGAATTGAAGTCTGTCATCTTTATTTGAAATTTCTGAACGACAATGACAGTTGACATTATCTGATGAAAAATCGAAAGCTGGGTTTTCTTCTGATAATTTTCATTGAGACAGCTTTCCACTTGCTAAAATAAATCATCCTAATTTTTCATTCAGCCAACCTTTATAATTTGTTGAAGACATTCCTCTAAAGCTGCTTCATTGGTTCTTAACTTGATTTGTTTACAGAAATTATTTAAATGCAGTACCCTGGATAAAGTCTTTCAAACAAAACTTTTTTGAGTCTTCTAAAATTTTGCCAGTCTGCAGAAAACGTTTGGGAAATTTTTGGCTTCGAAAAAAAAAACCGGAAAATTTGCCGGTCTACCGGCTCAAAAAGTTTCGTCAACACTGATATGGAATATATATTTTGTTTCGAAGGTTGGCGATTACTCGGGAACATACTCCATCAACATGATTCCATGCCTGATGTCACCGTCGACACCATATGCATCCACTTCTTCCAGTTCGGAAATAGGGGACTCGAAAGATTCCGGACGATCCCCGATGTCATCAATGCGTTTGCCACCGGAAGCGAGTTGCACTGCGCAAAAAATGTCGGGTTTCACACTCAAGATCCGTTTCCAGCAGCTGTCTGATCCCGTGCCTTCCAAATTCTCACTTAACACGCAATTCTTGCTGCTGAAGAAGAAAATTTCAGTGGCTGCGTCAGCGTCTAGAATTCACACGGACAACAGTGCTGGAATTTTGGCAGAATTTTCTTCGGACTCGGAGGAAGCTTTCGTGCCTGGTAAACTGATTTTAAAACCTTTTGAATTTACTGCGCAGGGCTGTAATATTTTTTTTTTCTTTACAGAGGACTACATTCATGGGGTGCTAAGGATGAATCCACTGGAGAATTGGGGTGGACACTTTGGTCTCAGAATTGAAAAGTGTTTCCTATGCGCGGGTGACAACAGTCATGTGCCAAAGTTTAATCCGAACCTGGAGGAATATGGATGCATTTTACCAAGCCCAAGATTGAAGCATCACTTCAAAATTCTCGTGAGTAAAAACTAAAATTGGCTTTATCTTTGATTCCTGTATTTTTACAATACTGTACTAACCTCTCAGTCAAATTTCAAGGGACCAGCAAAAAATTCGAATTAGGGAGGTTTAGACTTACGGACGTTTCAAGTTATAGATGTTTAAGTTATGGAACCAAGGATTTTCATCGTAGGAAACATAGAAGAATTGCATTAAATTTTAAATTTGGATATTCTATAGAGTATAGACCTTAAATTGCTTATGAAATGAGTTGACAGAATGCTGAATTTGGAGGCAGGGGTTCATTAATTTTCACACTTTACTTAGTCACATCCTGATAAAACACATTGTTACTTTTTGATTGCTTTTCTCTTTTGAAAATTTAAAAAATGCCAGAATAAGGGCTGGAGAAATTCAAGTTATGAAGGCTTTCGAGGAAAAGCCTTTGACTTA